TCCATGGAAGGCTGTACATATTAAAAGATAATCTCATTGTGTGGGTCCCTTTGTTGTTTGTCTTAAATTTAGGAGACCTACCAGAGAAGTGTATACTTACATGAGACCGGGGTATTTCGTCTTTACGGTGTTCCCTTTCTCCATTGTCTAACCATTTTTTCAAATCTTCTGACAAAATATGCTTTTTATTGAGTCTTTTGCGTAACATCTCTGCTTGCAGTTGTTCATTCCTTTTAACAACAAGATTTTCTCAATTTTTTATTTTTTTCACTACACACTAAAAGTATAGTCGCCAATAATTATTACTCGTCTTTCAGCCTGTTCAACCAACAAATCTTGTTGTTTACTTCTTGAGTCTTATGTGATTGATCGTTTTGATTTGCGACAGTTGGTATTCGGCTGTTTTCGCGTTGATACTATTTAAATAAAAAAGGTTTAAACAATGTTAACTTAACCTATTAAAAAATAGTTTAAAATATATTCCTGCATTCATTCGTTCACCTCTTTTTGTATTCTGGCATACTACTTGGTCGGATCTCGTTCGTGCCCAAGATGGTTTTCGACAAAGGCAATGCAATTATGTTTTTCTTCTGTTCTTCTTCCAGTCGCCGTTTTTCCATTAATTGCTCATTTAAAACTTTCAAGTAGCTTTCTTTCGAACGATTCTTCGCTTCTATATTTCTCATTCTTTCGTCGTGTAAGCTGAAGCAGGTGACATAGTAAAACTTAATCTTAAACATCATTCAGGAACACGTTTTTTGTTTATACCTTTTTATAAGCTCTTCTTGGACTCGTTTTTCATCTTCTAAGCATGCTCTTTTATTTTTATATTTTTTTTTGTTCTATCTGGTCAAGTAAAGTTTGCCTCAAAGCAATTTTCTCGCCGGAATTCTCTGTGACGCTTTTAGGTCTCTAAATAAACTGACTTTAAAATAACACTTAACTGAGATTTATAAGCGTAGCAAAGTTAAAACTTTATGTACTTTATAGAGTATGTAACTTTAAGCGTTTTTTTCACTTTGGGCTTTTTCGTTTTTAATTATTTCTGCAATGCTGGACCATGTCTGGGTCCAGGTCGTCATCGTGTGCCACCGATAGCAGATTCAAATAATGCTCGTGGATCTATGAACGTGGCGTGGATCAAAAGTATCAGTGATCGAGTATATAGCTAAACTGTTAGCACTCACTTTCCCTGTATTGTAAGGTCGCTTCCTTTTAAAATTGTAATCTTTTGCCAGTTTCTCGTCGATCACGTACACGGGTTTTCTGATTGTATACGGGTATACATCCTTTACCCACCGGTATATCCTATTGGGCCACAGTGAAGTAACCGATTCCTATCATCAGTATACCCTACAATGTGAATTAATAGTACAATTAGTAATCAGAGCCCACGACAGTATGACAATTACAAGCACTTATATACGAGGTAGTGAATAGAAATGTATAATTACGACAAAAATATGCTTTTGTAAATAAATTAAACGAGCAGCCATATTTATTTACAACGACTGAGTACATAATGTGTAAAACCACTTTTTTGTTTTAATCGATAAAAAATACAAAACGTTATGAACAAAGAAAAATGCGAACCTTGATTAATTATAAAAAGTAATTTATTATGTAAACAATGTAGACGTTTAATACAAGCCTACGTTAAAATGAAGATGTTCTAGTAAAGTGGGTTGGCGAGGTAATTTCCTGAAAACCATACTTAACCCTATAGCAATTTACAAACAAAACAGTTTTACTCGGAAACTGTTTTGAATCGAGTACCTAAAATACAATTATATGAAAACATTTATTTTCGTTTTTGAAATATAATACATTTTGGTGTATAGGTGCAGATACTAAATATGATTATACTCTCATACTTTGTCACGGTTTATGTTGTTTTCGATCCATCTGGAAATACAATCCCACACTATGATTACATCTAAGAAAAACAGCTGCGGTTATAAATCATTTGGTCACTGTCGTTGTAAAATCCACCAAATTACCTTTAGTCGTGTACTCAGTGCCAATTGTCGCTTTAAAGTTATGCTTAGCCGTTTCCAAAATTTTTTCATTGTAAAATTCTCCATCTGCTGTAGGAGACAACATTATTGTCAAGTTAAGTTCTGCTTATAATGCAGTTAGTTCAGGATGATTTTTTTTTTTTTTTATCTTTCTAATGACTTTTTTTATTATATTTACCAAAATACGGTTACCATGACAGTATGAAAGATATTTGTTTTTTTACATATATATATATACACATATAATGTGATTGATAATAATTTATGTGTGTGTTTTGCATTACATTACATTATTGATTATGTATATTGTTACAATATTTACATATTATTACAACACGATTTTGACGCGATATAAAGAAACAGATTAAAGTCTCAGAGTTTTCTTTTATAATTGCTTGCATAATTTATACTTTACATTAATTAAATAACCGTTCTTTTCTAACAAGTTCTTTCTTAAACATGCCTAAATTTAGTAACTCTCATTTCTCCAACTATTAAACGCAGCTTACAAACTTAACATACTTCTAATAATACTCCTTTTGTTTAGTGTTGTATATGTTTTTTAAGAGTAACTTTTCATTGTTTTGGCCAATAGGGTACAGTTTAAATAACAGGGCCTTTGTGCCTACACTCCATAAGCCCCCGCATCTTTTGGGAAATTCCAATTAACAGAAGCGTTAAAATTGCATTTTGTTGAGCTGTTTGTGTAACTGCCTTATAATTATATTGCAATTAGGTATTTAAAGGGCAAAATATGAGCAATATTTTATTTTAAGAAATAGGTTTAAATCGATTTTGGCCAGATTAATTTATGTTAGCTTTAAAATGAAACTTGTTCCTAATATGTACAATTTTTATAGTTATATTGGTTATAGGTGTTTGGAAAGGCTGGCAGTTAATTATTTTTGTTTTATAGGTAAAAAAATTGAAATGTTTGATATTCTACCGATTCAAAACAATGAAGTATAATTTCAAAACACATACTTATTTCATTAAGTGTAATTATTTTTTAAGTTAACGTTTTATCTACAAAATATTAGGAAAATACAATACAAAGCTTGCCTGAAATAAGAAAATTTTTAATAATGTAAACATATTTATAAGATTTTGGTGTCTACAATTATCAAATAACTATTTTAGAGTAAAAACGACTTCATTTTGGTATCAGATTAAAAACAGTAGTGTAAAACAACTTGTTTATTTCAATAGTAGTACTTATAGTTGAACAAAATAATATGTCAAATGAAATTTCAGTAACGACTTGAAAATTTACTCAGGAATTTTATTTGTCTTCTTTTTCTTAATGTGACAATTAAATTGATGAATGGGTAATCATTTTTTTTAGTTATTCATTTGTAATCCTAAAGAGTAAAAAAATTAATACAATAATGTATTTCACTATTATTTATTAAACTTGGTTCTAAGTTTTTCAATTTGTTTATTTTTATTTATATTATACTTGCATTTGATTATGTAAATAACTATTAAAAAAAACAAGTTTACTGAATAAATTTTTTTAATATTTCAAAATTTAACCGATTAGCAGTATACCACAGTTCCTAATACCTATAGATGGAGTTCTTCAGGCCTTAATCCTATTTGAATATCAAATCAAATTTTTGGTATTTTCATTTTTGGGATTTTTAAGCAAATGAAGAACAGTTGTTCAAAAATCGACTTCCACGTTGACCTGGGAAAGAGGCAATGTAATATACTGTAGGCGCGCTCTATCGGTTAAAAAAAAATACTAAATATATTGTTTTAACATACAGCTGTCCTAGGCCATTAGTTCCCCTTTAATAATATGTTTAAATATTATTGTATGTTTAGTGGCTTTGAAATTTAAAAAATTACGAAATTTTAACTGAATTAAGTACTTTATTACCGAAAAACTGTGATATTTTTTATACAAGTCGTTTATACAAAATACAAATTAAAATCAATTACTTAATATTCCTTCTTTAAAGCGTGTAGTATTTTTACAGTCAACATTTTCAAGCAGTTTTTTTACAATGAAATAATTAACTAAAAATAATTTTAAGATTGTGCCTCAGTCATTGGCTTGAAAATGTTATAAAGAATCTAAATGTTTTTTTCAAAATTTAAATCTAAGTATTCTTAGGTACCTAAGTTTGAAGTAGAAATATACGTTTTTGTACAAAACTAGATAATACATGCGTTATTAAAATACAAATTTTTTAATCAAACATCAAAATAGATCCATATTTTTTATGGTCATATATATTATGTTTAAAAATGTTTGCTTAATGTTAAGTTTTAGTGAAAAATTGACCATACAATGCTTAATAAATGCTATCGCAGAGGCTCCTCAATATGTATTACTTATACATAACAACTGGTTCCCTTTTCGACCTTGTTCAATTGAAACACTAAACTAATAATAAAATATTTGAGAGCCAATGATTAATTAAGTATAGGTATATATTAAGACCGTCTCAACGAATCCATATATTATTAATTATTTTCAAAATCGGATATTATATTGTCTCAGAATTGTTGTTATCCTTCGAAAGCCACTGTATGGATCGAGTAAAACCCATTTGTCTATGTTAAGATAAATATATTTACTACCAAAAGAGAGTACACCACAGTTTAACCTTTAAATTAATATTTTTAAAACTCCTTAATAAATCTTGGGTATAACCTCCCCTTGATATTGGTAAGTTGTAAATATTTTATACTTAAACAGATTGAAATGCGGTCTGTTTTTAAGGAGTTTTGTATGGGCAATATTTTAGAAAAAAAGAGTAGGTACTTTGTATATTAAGCTTCAAGGTATTATTTTTAATTTAAATAATTTTTTCTACGAATAAAAGCCATTTTCTGTTAATTTAAGACCAAAATTGGACGCCATATAAATTATTATGCTCGACCTTGCCGCACTGTACATTTAAAACACCTGTTATTTGATAACGCGCCTTATCTGCATATCCGCATTGAGACTGCGTTTGTATTGGTGGCTATTATAGATTACTATTCACTGTGTAATATTATTATGTACCTACATAAATAATACTTAATAGGTGATCGACAGAAAAATGTACGATACCTAGTTTATTAATTATCTAGTATTTTTTTATTTATTTGCATTTCCTCGAAGAGCACTTTACACTCTTTTCCTGTATATTGCACTGTAACTAACGTGTGAAACGCAAAATATGCCAACAAACGAGTTCGCCGTCGTTCACTCCACTCGCGAATATTATGTACCACCTTATGATTATTAATAGTTTGCTCGACTGCAGTCGTTAACAACAAACACGGTAAACCTTGGAAATTTGCTCCACATTTGCTGACTGTCTCTTCATTGTCGAGTAATGCCACTTGCCGGTCTCGGGGATACGGTCGATCCTTGGAAACGAGTATCGTTACAGTCGGAATCGGAGGTGAGTGTGCACTATTCTTGTCTTGTATACTTAACATATAGACCACAATAATATGGTATTGTATTCAAGTGTTAAAATGTGATTATCGCTTGGCATTACGGTTTTGTGATGCTCAGTTGAAATAAACACGTACAAGTTGCAACCCACTGATTTTGTGAAACCATTGGTGTCCGTAAAAATGTTTAGTATATTAAAGTTTAATCTGAATTATCAGTGTGCACTTGTGAAATTTTATTCAAGTACCTACCGATTTAATTAATGATATAATGACAGCCGCATTATCTAGAACCGAACCTACATCCGTTTGTAACATATAAGTACACAAGCTATCAAAACCTATAATACAAATTATACAATAAGTTGATAGCACCAAGCATAAGTTAGTAGGGCTGACTATTTAAATTTTTTTATTTTATATAAAATAATAATGCCAGTAGACACCGATGTCGTAACTAAACATTTATGTGAGTGTTATTAGTTATACCCAACAAATAAAAATGACAAGTAAAAGATGTTATTAGTCTTAAGAATAATTTTGTAGCAAATTTTTTTTTTACTTTTCTTACTGTCCAATTTTTAAAATTAAATATTGAAATATGATAAGGATTTACAGTTTTATAACTAGGCATCAGCTGATTCATAATCTGTTAGCAGTGATGACAAATTTTAATGATTTTAATAAAAATAATTTAAATCTGTTTCAACTATTTTATAAGTTATAGTTTTTATATAAATCACATACAGTTTAATTCTCCAGGCATATCTCGTATTTAGAATTATGGCCGTGCAAGCTCATTTTGGGAATGGAGTCCCAAACCAACCAATTCCAAGAGGAAGGTAGTTAGGTAGAACAGCTTATATAATTCAGATAAATTCATTTTTACAAGATACCCAATTGTAATTTCTTTTAAGTAAAAACCTGGGTTATTACTAACTCTACATACTTAGAATCTGTGAGTTGTACTGACACTAAGACGTGGGTGTCTCAAGTCATTGCTTATTATGTAACATGTCGCTAATGTTAAAAGCATGACCGAAATGGCTTCTCTGGTTCATACATTATTAGGTTTCTTTTAACTACTAAAAGAGACCATAAACTAGTATTAGTTGACATTAAAAAATTAATTTTTTCCAACACTTTCTGTTTGTATTATTTATTTAAGTTGTTTACCATACCGTTTCAGAATTCAGTGAATACTAACAATATGGTTGTTGGTACTTCAAAATCGAAACCGATACCATTCGGACATCCTAACTCCTCAGGAATTTGCAATAACTTATCGAGAGGAGCTAAAGATGATGAAATTGTAGATGAAGCCAATGAAGACCAAGACGATGACAACAATGTCGATTCCGATGACAATAATGGTCACGAAATTGAACTGAAAGAACTCATAAAAGAAGGTCATGATAGAGCGGATCGTTCTCAGTTTGAGTTGCTTAAAGTTCTAGGGCAGGGGTCATTCGGCAAAGTATAACCTATTTATTATTATTTTACAATATTTAATTTAAACATTAATTTTGGTTTGGATTTTAGGTGTTCTTAGTAAGGAAAATTGTTGGTCCGGACAATGGAACACTTTATGCAATGAAAGTATTAAAAAAAGCAACTCTTAAAGGTATTCTTGTACTTATATTTATTATTAATACTAGCTTATTTATTATATAGCAACTTTAATGTTAATTTTTAAATGGCAATGTCGTTGAATTAAGTTATTTGTTAGTTACAAGTTGTATTGTTTTCTAGTTAGAGACAGAATTAGAACAAAAATGGAACGTAACATTTTAGTTGATGTACGGCATCCGTTCATAGTGCGTTTACACTATGCATTTCAGACTGAAGGTAAACTATACCTCATATTGGACTTTTTACGTGGGGGAGATCTATTTACCAGGCTCTCCAAAGAGGTAAGTAATGTCAAACTTCTCTACTGTGATCTCTTTTTTCTCTCTTCAATTTTCGTTATTATTGTTAATTAATTTTCAGGTAATGTTTACCGAAGAAGACGTTAAATTCTACTTAGCCGAGCTAGCTTTAGCTCTTGATCACATTCACAGTCTTGGCATTATCTACAGAGATTTAAAACCAGAAAAGTAAATTTATTTCTTTAAATTTAATAAAACTTGATAATTTGTGGAAAAACAATGTTTTCTTTTTCTAGTATTTTGTTGGACGCGGACGGACACATATCCTTAACAGATTTTGGCCTTAGTAAATTGCCTTTGGATGATCAAAAAGCATACTCGTTTTGTGGAACTGTCGAATACATGGCTCCGGAAGTAGTTAATCGCAAAGGACATTCTTTTGTTGCGGATTGGTGGTCTTTTGGTGTTTTGATGGTATAATCTCTAAAATACATTTTGTTGTGATGTTTATTTGAAGTAACAATCTGTTGTTTGCGAAACAGTATGAAATGTTAACCGGGTCTTTGCCGTTCCAAGGATCTAATCGAAAGGAGACCATGGCTCAGATATTACGTGCCAAACTTGGGATGCCTCAATTTCTTTCCAATGATGCTCAGTCGTTGTTACGCGTTCTTTTCAAAAGAAACCCGAGCAACCGTTTAGGAGCATGTAAGTGGACATTTTTAATAACTTGTTTTAATCAATAACAATATACATATTTTAAATAAAAAATAATTTTATTACGTTTTAGCCGGCATACAAGAGCTAAAGGATCACTTGTTTTTTGCATCTATAAACTGGGAAAAACTCTATCGTAAAGAAATACATCCTCCGTTTAAACCAGCCGTCAGTAGAGCAGATGATGCGTTTTATTTCGATAGTGAATTTACATCCAAAACTCCAAAAGGTTTTTGTTATTAAAATGATGTATGTGTTATTATTGCAGAATAATAATGACGTTACATATTCATTTTTAGACTCTCCATGTGTTCCGCCAAGTGCCAACGCTCACGAGTTGTTTCGAGGTTTTAGTTTTGTCGCACCGTGTTTGATGGGAGAAGACGATGAAGAAAATGTTGGTGTTCAACAAGTAATGAACATACCTGCTAAATTGACTGAGCCTTATTCAAAGGTATTATTCCCAGCTATTTTAAGTACTATTTAAAACTATAAACTGGGAAAAACTCTATCGTAAAGAAATACATCCTCCGTTTAAACCAGCCATATACTCTGATTACTATTATTAAGTACATTTTATTTTGTGTTCATTACGAGTCTAGTTACCATATAATAAGAGAAACGCAGCCGACGAATATGAGATAAAACACGAAATTGGCCGTGGTAGTTACTCTTTGTGTAGAGTATGTGTTCATAAAACCAGTCGTATTGAGTATGCCGTCAAGGTAATAGAAATTAATTGGATTCAATTCATTCAGTAACAATAAATATTATGATATTTTAGATAATTGATAAATCGAAAAAAGACTGCCAAGAAGAAGTCGAAATTCTTCTCCGCTACGGACATCACAACAATATAGTTACTTTAAGAGACGTAAGTTTTCTTTTTTTAACCAATATTTGGTTTTGTACGGTTAACCTTATAACCGAATGTTTTTATTAGGTTTACGAAGATGAAAAGGCTGTTTACTTAGTGATGGAGTACATGAGAGGCGGCGAGCTTCTCGACAGACTTCATAAGCTGAAATACTTTTCCGAAAGAGAAGCTAGTGCCATAATGCAAGTTGTTACCTCTACGATATGTTACTTACATAAGAACGGAGTAAGTTTTTAACTTGATTACTATTCAAAAAATAAACAACAAATCTTTGTCAAATTAATAATATCTACTTGGCTTCAAAGTCTAAGCTAAATTTACAATCCGTTCGAGCTAATCTCATTGTATGCAAAATTGTTTAAAAACGTTTTAGGTTGTCCATAGAGATCTTAAACCATCGAATATACTATATGCGACTGACAGCGCTTCGCCAGACGCTTTGCGAATATGTGATTTCGGTTTCGCCAAGCAGTTGCGTGCAGAAAATGGCCTTCTAATGACTCCTTGCTACACTGCTAACTTTGTCGCACCAGAAGTCTTAAAACGTCAAGGTTACGACGCTGCTTGCGATATCTGGTCGTTGGGCGTGTTGCTGTACACACTTTTAGCAGGGTATGTCGAGTTTTCTCTTAACAGTAAGTTATTTTATTAAAATATATGTGTTTTTGCCCCTCAAGACAAACGCCATTCGCCAGCGGTCCTGACGATACTCCTACGGAAATATTGCATCGTATCGGCAATAGTAATTTAGATTTAAAATCGGGTAACTGGACGGTGATATCTTCTGAAGCGAAGGTAACACAATTTGTTCTAAATTTTTTCGACCAGTTTTAAACCAATATATGTTTATAATTTAACGCCGTGTATTATGTACCTGTGCTATTATAGGATTTGGTGAAAAAATTACTGCATATAGATCCTCGTCAAAGACCAACCGCTTGTCAGATACTGTCCAGTCCGTGGATCATGAATAGAGATAAGTTGCCTACGTATCAGATACAATTGCAAGAGTCTTACAAGATAAAAGGAGCAATGGAAGCAACATACAGAGCCGTCAGTCAGTCGCCGCCGACACCTAATTTAGGGCCAGTAGTTTTGAGTCAACTGGCACAAAGAAGGCATAAGTCGCGTCCTAAATAATTAACTAATAAAATACAATAATTGTAAAACATATAATTATATGATTATATTCCTTTTTATTCTCTTTCCATTACTATGTTTATCTTTTGTGTAGGTTTCAATTTCGTTTTTTTTAAATTAGAAAATTACTGTATTTAAAATTACAATACGTATAAAACGTTTTTTCTCTTTTTTCCAATTGTTCTATCGGTCCTTACTTTATTAAATTTAAATATAAATATACTTGTTTTTGTGCAGCGAAAAACTGCCCGCAAACATCATTGACAATATAACTATAATGGACTTAAAATATAATATTATAGAACTATACAAGCAGTATCGCACATTCCTTAAATAATTGTTACATTACATTTTATATTTGCATATATAAAATCATTGTATTTATATAACTTCATTTGTAATTATATAAAAATATAAAGTTGTGTTGAAGTGTTAATTGGCGTTTTTTTTTATTTTATAATATTTTTAGTCAATGATTTTAATAAAATGACAGTATTTCCATTTGTTCAACAATACCTACGTACTCCAATGACATTTATAATTGTGTATTTTATATTTTTATTGTTACCAATTGGGTATGTTATTGTAATGTTATGTTAGTTTGAGAAAAAGAAAATACCACAGTATAGTAAAAGAGTGTACTTTAATAGATTATTTGTTTTTGGTCAACGGGTGATGGTCTTGTGAAATTTTTTCGTGAACTTTCTAAAGCTTTCGGTAGTTTTTGATGCTTGACTGCGTAGTCTCTTCGGCCACAGCCGACTGCTACTACTACTAGATGTGGTAGCCGATTGTTGGACCTCATTTGTCAATCGTTCTTCGACTTGCATTTCTTGGATTCTAATGGTCTTCTCTTCGTAATCAACTTGTTTGGCCTCAGTCGGTTTCGGGGTTTCCGCGACTTCCCATGCGGTAGAACTGTTAGGACCGAAGAAGTACGTAGTGTCGTCGTTTTCTCCATCGAAATCGTCTTGTAACGCTTTTGTCATGTATTCCAAGTGTATTGAGATGAATGTATTAAGTAAAAATAATAGAGTTGATGATTTATGTACTTGTGATGATATTATTATGATGTTGATTTATTCAATAAAAGTTACTACAAACCCGGCAACCGAAAAACATAAGGTGTTTAGAATGTATAAAAATACAGTTTCCCAGAGACAATAAATTATATAATAATTATAACAATAAAAAAAAATTAAGACCGACACAGGTGATACTATAATTTAACGACAAAGTTTCATTTAATTTAAATACATTTTTATACTTTTAATTGTTATTTAAATAATTGCCAGGTTCAGAAAAGAAAAAAACACAATGTTTCACAAGTGATTACTTATTTATTTCATTTAAATACAAACACCTTACATAATAGTAATAAAAAAAAACCGTACAAAGGTTTGTTGATAATAATAATATGGTAATAGGGTAAGGCACTTATTATAAAAAAATATTGTTTTTGTAAAAAGCGATTACAATACAAAAAATATTACAATATTTATATTTAAATATATTTGATTACGTGATGCAACAGAAAGGGTAAGTTATATTATATATGTTCCTCAGTAAAACGGTGAAACTGTATATAAAAAAACAAAAAAAAAAATTATTTCTTTCTAGGAACTTAATTATGAGATTTTTCTGGTGCACAAAACAGACATCTCACGGGTGTTAAACTTCAACACATTATCACAATTAGGTAAGTTTTGATTTAGCGTGCATACACACACGCACACACGCTTGACAATCGTATAAAAAAAAATATATATATATATGTATAAGTTATTATATAACACAAACACATATACAACAAGTACACTTGTAAGAACTTAACATAATATTATACCTATGTGTATATTATAAAATAACTTAAATGTGACAGCGATTATATAATTTCCACCCCGATGCTCATGGGTGGGCCGTTATTAATTGTGTCGTCTCTTTAATTTTGTCAACCGAATCGGTACAGTCATGCGACGATGATTCTACCGTTTGTTTAACCTGTACCAGATGCACGTCGACGTAAGGATGTAAGTACACAAGAATATGAAGCATATGTAAAAGAACTCTGGGTAGACGTTGACTTCGGAGAATTCCATTTGGGCGAGAAACGTTTTGGGGTTCTTGAAGTGGCAGTACATCTCGTCTGTGCACGGCAACGTAGCCCTGTCGAAACCGTACACCGTGTAAACGAGGCTCTGGTACGACGCTCTGATGAAGCTGAAGTAATGTAGCCAAACGTATTGGGCGGGCACGTCGGTAAGTCGTATGCAAAAACCGAACACGGACAGCAAGACGACCGACACGGGACCCACGAAAACAGACACCTAGAACACAATTATTAAAATATTATAATTTAAACTATAGATAAAAATTCATAGTAGTGGGTGAAGAAGGTTCAGCACCGTTGCTGGCCATCTCGAAATAAAATTGTTTTTTTTCTATACCTTAACGGGAAGAGTAGCGCCGTATAAGAATCCGGTGCTTTGTGACGTTAGTGATGTAATAACGGCAAAAATGATAAAGTAACTGAACCTCATCAGTTCCATCGGCTGTCCGGTCATTATGTACGAAGGCACAATATAAGTGAGACAACAGAGCATCTGAAAACGTACACGGAGTTACGACATTTGTCTGGGCAAATCTAAGTAACGTGTCGAGTGTGAAGTAAACTTCAAGGACTCAAGAAGATGTGTAACAACTAATTAGTATTTTATGTGTCTCACTTGAAAAGGTATTTCCACCAGTAGTGTAGACATCATGTACGGAAACAGCGAGTACCAGCCGTTGAAGTGTTCCCGTTTCAGCACCTTGTACTCTAAAGGAACTATAAACAAAATAAACAAAGATTAGATAGGACTTGGCAGATCCTATGTGGCTGGATGATTTATTCAAGTTACTCACACGACACTATGACGGCCATTTGGCCTGTGTACACCAGAAATAGGTTGGTGCCGTAAACGAATACCATGTTGCTGAGCGTCTCCGAAGCGTTGTTGCCGACATTACGGTATAAGTAGCCGAAGATTAGAGCAATTATCAAATGTGCCATAAGTCGTAAGACGAGTTGAGTCTGAAAAATACAAATTGTGTTATCAACCATTAACGGATAGGTACATAATGTGAACGATGACAACAGCACTTTTTCAGGCAACGTCACGATAATAATATCATTGTTATAAAATATTATACTCCAAATAATACCGGAAGAATCCACAAAAAATAAAAATTGTATTTTATTGTATATTATATTATAATTTAGAGTGGCCCTGTCTGTAGCTGTACTTATTGTTCATTAGAAGCGTTACATAGATTTGAGCATATTATGTGTATATTGTATTTTGTTTATTTATTGAAGTTATATGCAGAAACTTGGTATACTTATTTAATTTATACAAAATGCAAACACTATTTGAAATAATCGTTTTTTTTTTATAGAACACATTATTATATACATATAAATGTTTTTACTTAGATACAACTTAAAATTTAATTGAGTCATTCAAATTCCATTATTTAAATGTTAAAAAACAAGTGTTTAAAAAAAACATTAAAAAACGCTAATTTTTACATAGTTATTTCTTATTTGATTTGAATAAACAAATTACAATTATTTCTTCTTTTTATTTTTTAGGGAGTTATTTATTATTCGTGTTCGAGTGATTTGAACACTTAATTTGACTTTATTGCATTTAAAAAAAAAATATGAAGTCAATGAAAGTAAGTTAGACCGCTAAAATATGACTTTTCCGTTGTTTTAGCTTAAAAATGTACATTTGAATACTGCAAACAATTTTTTTGAAAAATTCTACTTAACTGCATAAATTACATGCACGACCAAAATATGTATTTCACTCTTTTTTTCTAGTCTATTGAAAAGTAAGTGGCGTTAACATCAAAATATTAAGGCCTAAGATTTTCGGTAGCTCATTTTGTTTTTTTTTTGTGCATTTGGAACCGATCAAGATTCAACGAACCCAGTCTAAATTATTTTAATAGAAAAGAGTCTGTTTGCTACTTACTTTGTTGCGTTTATAGGCAATTATGTTTCGGACATACAAGTGATAGGCCTGCAAGTACGGTGGAGGCAAGGAAGCCGACTTTGTTTTAAGGGGCAACTTTTTTTTGTCGGCGACGTTGTGTTTTTTCAAACAGCCTATAGATAACACAGGTTTAAGTACAATACAATATGGTTATATGGTTGTAATGGGATTTTTAATTTTACATACATACCGTTTTCTAGCTGTGATTCTTGGTCGCCATTGACGAGATGGTGACCGTTGCTGATACGGTCACTTTTATAAACGTCTTTGGACATGGATTCGGCTAGTTTAACTAGAACATCTGCACCAAAATCACCGATGGCCACTTCTATTACTGAAAAATTGTTAAAAAAAAGTTATTAGTAATGTTAATATCACACAATCTAGCCCAAACGCAGGGCCACATAAATATTACAAAATAAGAAAAATATGGAGTTCTTCCTGAATGTGTGTGTTTACCTACTTAACGCAAGTGCTGTTTCTTTAAATACGGTTTATTATACCTAATAATTGCCTACAAACCAGAATAATTATCAAAAGGCGTTCATATATAATTATTGCCTATTAGCTGATTACTCAGTTAAATGTTGTTAAATTACCTTATTATCTCATATTACACAAAACCGTTTTAATATTACTCGCAATGTGACTTACATATCCTATGCAAATAGTTTCATAAAACCAAAAAATTCAAGAAAACAATTTTTAAAATTTTTTTTTTGTTCTTAGGCGATGCTATATTCCGGAAATTCTCAAATTTTGTATTGTAGAACTGTAATGAAAAATTTGAAACCTTACAGCTCCTAGTAAAAGAAAGTCTCCATTACAAAATTTTTACCAAATATTTTACATACAAATAAGTAGGTGCTATAAAAATTTCAGAATTTTTGGTTCATGTGATAAAGTTATAGGCTCTTAAGTATAGCACTTTTTAATAAAATGCCACACTACCTTAATTTTTTTTTTATGTATAGGTAATAAGGTTACCTATACATAAAAATTAAAAAAAAGTTATGGATCAAACAAGTATAGTATGATGTATCAAAATAAAAAAAAGTTTTGAAATTTTGACCTTAAGTCAGTAAAAATATTGAATGAAATTCATAAAATTTTTAATTTGTTTTTCAGTTTTTAAGTACTTAAATATTTGAAAAAAAAAATGTTCAAGTATATTATGAAAAAGAACACTTAAATTAAAAATTGTTTAGTGGAAGTTCTATTAAGATATCATAATTAGTCATTAAGTAACGAGATCGTGAACTAAGGTGTTTTCACAACAAATTTTCGGAATAATAGCATCGCCTAAGTGGAAAAAAAACTGTTGAAACATTTTTTTCTTCACTTTTTTGGTTTAATGGATTTGCATAGGATATGTAAGTTTGAGGCATTTCAAAAATCCACTCGCACGGATAAGATTAGTGTCGTTTAGTACCCCCGTTTGACTATTTTTTTTTTTTAATTTTCCTTTGATAAAAACACAACGAGTTTGATTACAGATTTTTGAGCAAATTTTCTATACCTTAGGGTCTATTTTTCAGACCTCGAGCCCTAAAAGTGCGAAATAAAGTTTCTACCTTTTCTGAGGTATATCATATTGTACTTACAGAAGTCTGCAGGGTTGTGGTAGGGCGGACACACGATGGCCCGTTCAGCAAAGTACGGTATGACGAAACTGGGAGGTCCTTGGTAAATGCATCGACCCGCAGACAGAGCGTATACTTGGTCGAATTTTTCGAAAAATAACGCACTTGGCTGATGCAAGGTGCACACCATTGTTCGTCCCTGGTTGTGCGCCAGGTCGACCATCAGAGACACAAACTGGCTACAAGACTGACTGTCCAATCCGCTGTGAAAAACACAAACACACCGTACGGTTATTACACAAAATACACAAGTCCTAACCTAACAAGACTTTGGCAGCGCAACGACATCAACTCATTGGCAAATTGTCCAGTCCCTAAACACCGACATACAGTCCCAAGGTGTCAGAAAAAGAAGCAAAAACCACATCCTCATTTTTTGTTACAAACAACATTTGTAACAAAAGCTTTGTAAAAAACATTGTAACCATAATGGCCTCATAAAAAGACTCTAATACAATATGCTTAGTGACTATCACACTAGTGTAATGACGAGACACTATTGTTTTAACTTTTATACCAATTTGATGAGAGTTTATATATAAGGATAATTATGACAAATGTTATAACCATCATAATATAGCAAATAATATGGTGGCAATGAGTTTTTATTTTTGCTGCGAGATGACGAATGACAAATTTTAAATTTGTTCAGTAATAAAAGCACTATTTTTGGATAAAAAAAATGTGTTGCTCAAGGTTAAGTACCGTATCAACCGTGAAACCGATAAGCGTCTTTTATCAATCTGGGCTTGGCTCGTCATTCTAAAATTCACATACAATTTCAATGAAACCAGGTTTATTATATTATCGTAGATAAAGCAAATAATTATTGTTTTCCACATGACGTATAGAATGACACGCGTGGGCCTATATTCATATCTCTTGACACACAGTTATCTCAGTATACAAATGTCAAATACAAGTATAATAATATAATATTATTATTATAATAATATATAATAACCCTGAAATAATAAACAGTTAAACTCATAAATCGGAATGAAATAAAGGATCCAATAAATATCACAATCTGTGATGGTTATTTTTCTTATTATTATTATTATGAATACATAAACACATATTATTTACTTAACGTGAAAGTCAATATTAAAAAATACTCGCAAGGTCCTCTCGAGGTCTTGCTTAAGAATTTCAATTGAAATATATTCAACAGTTATGTTATATCCAGTAATGATTTTATTTACCGCATAGCTTGAACTAATAACGCCAAAAATCATAATTTGGCACCGTTGATCATCGAAAAAGGATTTAATGACAATAGGTGATTCAAATTAAGAGTTCCCGCCAAAATAATTTACAAAAATTATTGCGGCTTAAAAAAGTTCTCCGTACGTTATTTATATACGTATTTCGGTCTTTAAAACTTAAAATCAAGAAGTATTTGATTGTTTATCCAATTTCATGAATATATTTTATAGTTTTTAAGTTTAAAAGACCGAAATACGCATATAAATAATATACGGAGTACTTTTTTGAGCCGCCATTTTGCAAATTATTTTGGCGGGAACTCTTAATTTGAATCGCCTATAACGAGTAAGTATGATGCTGTTATAAGTTCTGAAACAATTTCTATAGGGGCTGTTTTTTCAGCTTTTTGTAATTTTTTGTTTGTTTTACTAGCAACCATAAATTAATTAAACGTGTACTCTTATAATAATACATAAATCTTACGTGGTGGGTTCGTCTAGGAATAAGATGGACGGATTTGTGATAAGTTCCAAGGCAATGGATAGTCTTTTTTTTTGACCACCCGACAGACGTTTGGTGACAGTGTTGCCGTGTGCAGACAGGCCCATCACGTCAAGCAGGTTTTCCACGTGCTGGACTTTAGACAGCGTTGATTTCTTAGTGGATAGCTTAAGGTGTGCGGCTACGGTCATCGATTCTCTGACGGTCAACAGATCACGCACATAGTCGTCTTGTTGTATATAACAACTGATTTTGCTCATATGTTTGTCGTCCCTCAAAGTATTATTTAGATACACTGAACCCGAGCTGCCGGTCACCCTGTAATTAAACGGACAAAGTTGTTATTTATTACTTGTAATATATTATTTCCATGGGTTTGCACCTTGATTTTCCCGGTATCCCGGACATTATAAATTAAGTAGGTATAGTCAAAATCTTAACAGTGCAAAAACTATACTTGCAAATCATACTGGCGAGAAGGGCCATTATTTATTCAATTTTCTTTATATCACCATTAACTTATGACACTTTAGAAACAAGAACAATAATGTACATAATAAGAAATTAAGTACCCATTACGTTTAACAGCAATATATTATCTCACATATAGATGCATATGTTTCAGTAACACCTTAATGTGTTTTGACTAGTGTGAATTGAGCATTCACATTAGTTACATTAAATATGGATTGATCATAGTGCGAGCCTTTTCTTTTTAAATAAAAGTAATATAAATATTTGTTCGAGTACAAAGGAGAAGAAATTGTGGAGTCTTTGTGATAATATTATTTTAGTAAAACAAATCAAATGTCGAATAATACTAAGACTCCTAATAAAGATAACATAGGTATTATGCACATAATATAAATAACCGAAGACGTTATTAGTATCATCATAATAAACCAATTAGTATTACACTTTGAAATAAATGATAATAATCATCGTTGTACGAACTGATGTACTAAAATGATCTAATGCACCTATAATAGTATATTTTGTATTTTCTATTAATTAAGAAAGTTATGAATTACAGAACAACTCTTTTATACAATCAAACATTGATTCGTTTAGGAATGACACATTATTGTGAAAATAGGCAAATAAAATAATTTTTTTAAAATTAATTATTCACAAATATTTTATTCCAAATTGTGTTTAATTCAAATAAAGGAGGGGGGTTAAGGGGTTGTACCCCCTTCCCCCAAAAATGTTCAAATATTATTATAAATAAGTGCGAATAAAATACAATGATTTTTTTTACATTAATACATTTTTTGTAACCCACCCAAAAAAAAATTCTGGATACGATGCTGACCACACACACTTAAAAAGTCAATAGACACAAATTATTTTAAAATACTATGCACGTGGTAAATAGCACGTAGGCGTTTAATGTTTGAAACATTTATTATTATAAAACTCTATTATCTGTGTTATAGAATCACACAAGGTTTTTTTTAATATTTGTATGGTGTACATAATGTGTAGTATAAAACGCGATAGCACATTACCAGAATCGTCAATTCATACTTATATTTGTCTATAAAACCATATCAAAAAAGTATACATCATACAGTGATCGAAATCGTAGAATTTATTTTTAGATAGCTTATCCAATGAAATTATTGTTTTAGCCAAAAAAAGTAAGTTACAAGAAAAGCTCATTATTATATAAATTAATCAATGTCAAATTTAAAATGCACAATACAAGTCATGGTGTACTTATGAAATACCTATAAAGCAGAAAATGGACTTCCGCAAGGATCGGTGATCAGCGTTACAGTGTCTTTAAGTGGACGCGGTACTCCATTTATTAAAGAATTAGGCATAGGCAATTTTTTTGTAGAATAATTATTTGAAGGTTAAACTGTGATGTTGATGAAAATTATTAGTTCAGTAATTAGGACTTTTTGTTTGTAGTTGATTTATTTTTCGGACTATCACGACATCCTTGACGGTGATATAACAACTTTTTTTTCCCATCTAACTTAGGCACGCGGAAAGCGTTTTACTCGGTCCATATTGGTATTAGAGTAATAACACTTTTCATTAAATTAATAACATTTTGGAACAATGTCATATCCGATTTTGGATGTTAAATATTAAACTAACTCCATAAATATTAGATTTATCAAAAAAAATAATATGACATTGTCCTCTTAACAGCAATCCATGACCTTTTCAAAACTATACCCAACCACCTCCTCTTAGCAGACGACTGCCATATCTACTGCACTGAACAAAATATATATACCACAGTTGAAATCCTACAACAGGTGCTTAATTGATTAGAGAATTATTGCATAAACATTCACTAAACGTTTCATGAACCAATTTAAGCACGTTAATGGATGAATAAAAATGAATATATTGGTTCATTATAAGCCTACTTCACTTTTGTTGGTCCTTTAAACTAATAATAGCTAATATTATATTTAAACAACGGTTTATCACAATAATTACAAAACCATGTTCTTAAATAACACCTCAACGCCCACAACAAAGGAACCATTTCAAGAAGTATACCTAAAAATTAGTTTAAAAAATTAATTTCCACACTTCAGTTAAAAATAATATAGAACACCACCGTGGCTATGAAAACGCATGAACCATAATAATACAATAGTAATAATACAATGGGTATGGTATCTCACTTCCTTCCAAAATACCATACAAAATAATTTGATCACAACTACACCCAAATTTATTCAGACTAGGCCAAATCAAGCCGACATAGTGTTGGCTTCGCTAATATACAAGGCCGTAACACAACAATACATCAGCTTCCTCAAATTACAAGTACATAATACATTTATTCTGTGTTACTAGCATATTATACACAGACGAAAACTGCGTCATCTACGAAGCAATCAACTTAGCCAATACACTTGACACGAACAATATTATCCTAATCGCAAGTCATTCTCTCCAAGTCTTCACCTTTTAAAACCCATTTCCCTTAAACAAAATAACCTAACACATCCAAATAGAAATAACCGAATTAAAAAAAAAACATCCAATATAAATACCCATATCTAAACGAAATACTTTTCAAATAGCTATATAAAAGTAACTATTGTAATTAGGCTAATTAGCTTTGTCGTTAAAGCTTTACCAAAAAAAAAAAGACTTTTATTAAACTTTATATTTACTATATTACATATTATATATAAATATTAAATAAATAATTTAATAACCATTAAATATGTTTGATCTCACAGAATTGCCTAGATTTGTAATTGAACTGTGAATAACGCTGTAACAGAGGCACTGTTAATTGAAGAGAATACACACATTATAGTATATAGTATAAGAAACCGTCTTCATTCAGTTATGTTACCCAATCACATATTTTAATACCGAGTTTGCCCTTAAACGAAACCTTACGTGTATTAAAGTCACAGATCTTATAGTAGATGCTTGAATAATAAAATTTTCTCCAATATATAATTTACGCTTTGCGTTACGTTGGACTGAAGGAAACTGACTTTACACAGTACAAAGATTACCATAAATAATTATACTCATTATGGCTGATGTGAAATTAAAACGTGTGAGTATTTTATACGAACAATATAATATTTTTTACATTATTACAGTAATTATTAATAATATATGTACCATCGTAAGTAGGTTTCTGACATTTAACTAATACAATAAAGTTCCTAATTTAAAAACATTTATTAACATACGAATAAGGAAATAATACATTTTTCAATACTTAACGAGTTCTATTCTATTGTTTGTATGTAATAAAAAATACGTGCAGTGTTTTAAAATGTAAAAGAAAATAATTAAACACCCCATAATGGTAATATTTTTTTGCTAGTATTACATGAGAAATACATTTAAACAATAGATATTATATTCAAATTCTAGAATGAAAAAAAAAATGAGTTGTTAAATTTCCAAAAACACACATTAATTAGAAGTAATTAACATAATATCAGCGTCTTCGGTTTTATCGAAATAAGCAGCCGGACATACAAAAAATATAAATTATTTTTGTTAAAGAAATGCATCGCAAGGTTGTAATTAAATTTGTTTTTTTGTCAAGTGGAAATTTCAAAATTTTTCAACGCATAAAGTTTATTACAAACTGGTGTTTGACCGATTCATTATTGTAAAGTAACGTGGTTCCCATAAGAAAACAAAATTAACTATGCATTTTTATTTTTAGGTACAGAAACGATGGAACAACCATAATTTGCAGAGTAAATAATTAACAGGATTAAAAGTTATGACAGTTAAACAAAAATAAGCATATTTTCTATTATTATTATTATTATTGTCATGTTCACCGTCCATCGAATTGTCACTGATATTATAATTATTAAAGCAATGTGAATAAATTTATAAACTTTGTAAATAGTCAACATTGAAAATTAGTGTACACATAGGTTAGTGACACTGAGGCATACCAACGCATAGGATTTATGGATAATATCATACAAATCGTCAATTTTACAATTTACGTTGTTTTCATAATTTGTTAGTTTGAGAAATAAATCTAAGATAACAATATAATTGTATTTGAATTATGTTTAATTACACTGTTTTCGAATTTAATTTTTTTTATATCGTAGTTACATCCAAACACTTTACAACAGTTGTTAAAAACAAAATTTTAATTGTATTTTAATTAAATCGTGTAATAAATGTTAAGAGAAAAACAGAGTGGGCCGATTAATCGAAAATTGAAATACTCAAATTATATATATATTTTTTTTTTTGCTTTGATGTGGAGGAGAATATAGGTAGGACTCAAGGTCTGAAAATTAGATCAAAGTTGAAGTAGAGTGAATTATTATAAAATGAAAAGTATATACTTAACTAAGTTAAAGTCTTTATTTTAAATGTTGCCAAACTTAATAATACATTCATAACTCATAGATTCTACTTGATAGAAATACAAATATCGATGGATTAGTAAAAATATTTTTCGTTTTATAAAAAAATGTCCCTTCAGAGTTGCATATAGATTATAATGTCTAGGTTATAATATACAAAATTAATAACACATAAGCCAAATAAATAACGAATTTGATTATTATTGTAGACTGTCGTATTTCGATGTATACTGGTTAATCTCTGTAGACATTATACCTATCTAAAATACTAGAATCAAATAAAATGTATTATTATCAGCTTAAATGAACGGTCTATGTTGACCTACATGTTGTTATCTAGAATATTATTGACGTTGTAAGGTCATCGCCGTGCATATTGCAACTACACTACATAATATATATATATATTTTTTTAAAAATAATATGTATAATAAATTGTTGTTCGAGACAAAATTACATTTCCGATAATGAACATGTTATAACGTCTAACACGGCCAGTTGGCGGGGTTAACCCCGAGTAATAATATGCTAAAATATAGTTGTATACATGTGTACCGTTTGTTCTTATCTCTGAACTATGGTAATATAATTAGTAGCCGACGACTTCCCACTCATAAAAAATAACTACTAGCCAAGTAAAAACAATAATTATAATAATAATAATGATATGAAATGTTCACTCACGAGTATCCAGCCAGAACATTGAGCAATGTGCTTTTGCCGCCACCTGACGGCCCCATGATGGCCGTTAGTTCCCCTGAACGGAAGGTGCCGTTGATACCGTGTAAAATTTCTTTCTTCACTGTAAAAAAAAAAAACATAACTAAGTATTGTTTAAAATGAAAACTAAAATTATGGTTAATATACACAATACATTAATTATAGTTGGAACAAGCCAAATAAATAGTTCAGTCAACTAAATGTTCAGTTAAAACAACTATTTATTTAATTATTCCAGCTATACACTTATTAGCCACGATAGTGTTTTAGTTGATGCAACTATGCATTTTTTCCCGTGTAAGCTTTAATCCCAATGTTTAGCAATTTTATCATTTAAGATACAGTCCATAATCAAATAGAATAAATGACCGGCGCGGCCCAAGGGCATTCGCCCACCTGCCCCCTCAGCGATTTCGGCGACCTTTAGGTATTGAACACCTGGAAATCGTACAACAAAACGAAATGTCTCAAGCTGACAACTTTATGTAACAATTATTCAACAATAATAATATAACCTTCCAGATATGGATTCACTGACACATGCCCATAAATAATGTATTGTCGCTAGAAAAATCAATGCTCAACACAAAATAGCTAGTTATTAGTTATTTGCTACTAAAGAAAGCATTTAAAAAAAAAAATTATATAAAAAAATGTGTGTAAATAAACGTGAGATATTTTATAGGCATGACTAAAAACTAACGCATAGGAGGTTTATGGGTCATTTAATAACCGTGACACTAAACTTGACCGCGTGCAAAATCCAAGGCCGATGGCACGTGGATATAAGTGGGAAACCGGCAGTACAACATTGCCAACGCCGGAGCAAATAACATCAATGGAAATGAGCCCAGTGGATAATGATAAAAAATATTTTACAAAGGTTTTTTCAATTCTAAACGCCCACGGTTACTGAAGTTGGTACAGTGGTATTTTTTTTTGGAAAAACCATGAGCTACTGAAATGAAAAATAAAAAAAACAGTGCCAAGGTATGGGAAGATATTAGATAGGCGGAAATAACATAATATTTTATCGGATTAGCTCTGATAGTCTGATGTAAAGATGAGTATAAAATCAAATCAGTATTTTGAACACAATTATAATTAATATTATTATCAAACTATTTTTTATAAGCACCAGCTGAACCAGTTAGCGATGATTGTGTCGATTTCGAAATAAATATAACTCATCGTTAATCCTTATCCGTTACTGATCATTAGTATTATAAAAAACAAATATTTAAGTTTGAAGTGTGAAGCTGTGGAAATTTCTAAAACGATTAATGAGAATCACCTTACACCTTTATGATGATAATTAATGGTTTCCACTCCCCATTTTATGTGTACAAAAAAACGTTGGTGCACGTTTATTAGTTGTTTAATCGTATAAGAATATCAGTGTAGCTATTAAATGCACTAGTATTATTAATAAACGTCTAAATTTAAGGCAGTAGTATTCACTATTTACAAACATAATGAAATAATATATTATATAATATAATAATAATATATTAAAATATAAATAATACATACATTTATTTACATAAATACTTTCTATTACTTATCTTATTTCAAGAATTTAAAAATTAATTATTTAAAGCCGTTCAACTATTAGTTAATTACCTATTGTCGGTAATTTAATTTAGCAATATTATTATGTCGAACACCATACTTTAAAAATCTGTTATCTCCTGATTGATAACATTGTACATCGTACAGGTTATTTTAATTACATAAAGACATATTAGTTCAGGTACATACTACATAATATTATATTATACTTTGGAAAAAAATAGGACACGGATAAGAGTTCATTGCACTAAGCGAATATAATGATAATACATATATTGAATCATATTTATACTTATAACAATGCGGGGAAAACGATAGAATTTTAAAAATTGTACCACCAAATTGTAAACGCCTTGAGTATTCTCAAGTGATTTAATTTTTTAACAATTTATTCAATATTGTTGAACAAAGTTTATACTTTGTTCAGTCAACTGTGTTATCGTTAAAATTCGTCATTGAGTTATAGAATGGAAATTCCAACATAGTATACTATGTTATAGTATACTATTTTATTTGTAGAAGATTAACTTATTCACATGCGGTCATATATTTTTGTAATGTTACTGATTCATTATTAGTGTTTATTTGAAAATAACATTGTAAAAGGTACCTAATAAGTTTTAACTTCAATGCTGAAGCTTAAAAGGTATTGTTTACAATGGTTTTTGTTTGTTTATGAGACCAGGATAAATTTTTAACCTCTTGTTTCTTCTTATATATATGATTTAAAATAGAATATAATTTTACTTAAAATGTATCAGAAATCAAGCCAGTTGATATTCAGCTTACATCACAGTTGGAAATAGTTCTATTAAATGTGACACGAGGTTTAAATAACTCTTCAAAAGGTCAAATACACTTTTTTAGCATTACAATTTACGTTAAGTTGAAACAAAACCGATATGCCTATACACGGTATATTCTTTAACACCTAAAGATGAGTAATAAAAAAATATTTAAGTTGATAAGATTGCAATAAAACCATGAAAATGCCGATTAAGTGAAATTATTTGATTTTACAGCAAGTCTCTTTGGATTTTAATTTTCGTTTAACCTTACTGTTGAATTGTAAACATGTTATAATTATCACAATAAAAAATGCAAAATAATAAGAGTAAAATTATTTTAAAAACCATTTCTTCGCTTACTTATGATTGGTATAAACGTGACAGATTTTTTATTGAATTATTAATCATTTAATTATTATGGTCAATAAATATTTGTCGGAAAATGTTTTTTTTAATCAAGTCAAGCTAAGTAAATATTTTGTTTCCCATTGACAGTTACATCACGTTATTATAATATTATCTTTATCACTATCACTAAAGTTTGCGAAACATGTTTATAATCAAACGGGCTTTATCGTCGATCGTCACAATATAATAATAATATTCATATAGTAATGTCAATCACACGACTCGCGAGTCATTCGTTATATTATACTCTAATGATTGCTATTGTGATGTAATTGAAAGTTTACTGTTTATTTCGTTTTGCGTTTCAGAAAATGTTTGAACTTTGAACGCAGTTTTGCAAGGCGCGACGACGAAAGATATTATTGATGTGATGTGTTATTATTATGTGATGGATAGCCAATGATTAAGAAACGAATGAATACGATTTCTATATTAATATGAATCCATATTAAATTATTATTATTGTTATCATTTTTTGGAGAAAAAAAAATTGCTAGCTTTTAATTTATTGAAGAATAAGGTTCTTAGCTACAGTAATTTTGTTAGTCTTGTAGCGATTAATTAAATTATTGTAAGTCGGATGCTATGTATTTTTAAATGAAACTTGATCAGTTTCCGTCGCTCTCCAACTCAAACGGACGGGCTTTGTTCATATTATATCACATCCTGCCCTAGTATTAGATTTTAAAATTGAAAAAAAAGTTACCAGTTTTTGTTGTGCATCAGTTACGGCCTTCCTGAAATTATTGGAGTAATCTTGAGCATATCCGTTTTATGTTTATTTATTGTATTAGTTATTTTTTTATCACCAAAAAGTATTTTATCGTGCTTTACAACTTGGTGAGTCATAAAAACTGTGACAAATCAACATTAGCTGTTTTTACAGTAGTTACAGGTAATCTTAATCAATGATTATATATTTTCCGTGCCAATTTCTTTATTCGACGGTTCTTAAAGTTGCTCGAATACCCGATATCCGTAGTTTCATGGTTAGTACTTACATTATATATATAAATATGTATATACATGTAACGCAATTTTTTTTCAATAAAAAATGTCGATGCGTAGTATTGATAAGGATTAATTAGTGCGCTTGTAAAAAAATATAATCGTTAAATCAATCGATATTTCTATTTCAACATCAAGTTGTAGATAATTTTCAAGACTTATTGCATGGCGTGCCAACGTCTCTTGGAAAATGTCTCTCTAAAGTGTGTTTTAACTGGGTAGGTAGGTACATAATATGGTGAAAATACAGCGTTTTCCATAGAAAGAACAGAAAAATCTACGAGTACATTCTCGTTATTATTTTTTTTTTCACCGAGAGAGGACAAAAAAAAAAAAATAATAATAATAAAACATCCGGCGCTGTACACACAATAAGTAATAAGTAATAACCATGATGATACGATCGGTAATCGTTGCACGCGTCCGATCGGCGTTGACGATAATGCGAATATCAAGGTTACTTATATGTGGTGGAGAACAGGAACATAGGAAGTACATAGGAAATACGCTACGCCGTAAGCACTTGTCGTCGCATATCCTGTTGCCCGCGTTAGTACCTAGTGTATTCATTATATTTTACATTTTTTCACTTTTGTATATTATTATGATATTTTGTTTTCATGACTATACCTAATATAATATACAAGTGTGCGGTCATTGTTGTCGCCATGAGACGCTAACCTAATCTTTTATTTTAGGCAGCTGCGATTTTCAAACGCCGTCACGTACGACGGCGACCACGTTATATGATGTGCGTGCAACGTCTTAAGAATAATATGTATTAGGCGGCATACACCTAATGACAATAGAGAATATTGTTTTGCAATTTGTTTATCCCAATAATAGTAGTATCCTTCTTTGTTTTTTTCGGTCGGCGGAAGCGCACGTTGACATTGAACTCTTAACGGCGGACATGGTTTAGGTAACACAAAAACAGATTTCGAGCAACCGGTTGGTTAGGTCACTCACACCATTGGAGTCAGATGCACTATTATTGTGAATGCAGAATGTACCGAATTCGAATTTACAATGACAAATAAGAATGTTACACAATGTTTCTGTAGCGCTTACTTAATAAAAACATATATATTTCAATGTCTCAGAAGATTATTTAATTTTACTTACATGTGCCATAATAAAATTCTTCGTTGAACCGTTCCATAAATTCAAAACTGCTTCGGAATTAACATTTTTTTTTTAATATCAAGCAAATACTCTGTTATATATTTTCAATTAAGAATTACCTACTAAAGTAATTTGTCTTCATAAGTCAGCTATAATTCACGATAATATGTTATACATGTTT